AATCTTCCTACCAATATGACCATGTTGCGAAAACAAGGTCAAACAATCATATATATATTTATTTATTTATGTATGTACGAATGTATATATGTAAATCTGTCCCTATATCTGTCTATATAAATTCCGTCAATATCCTTTTCTCCATTTCTGTATCTGCCTTTATCTCTTTTTTCTATGCGTGTCTGTGTATTTGTATCTGTCTCTGTCTCTATTTCTGTCAACATCTCTAGTTCCATCTGTTTCTGGCATCAGTTCTGTGGCTTACTCTGCTTCGGTGCCTTCCTCTGCCGGGTGCAGAGACAATCGGAAATGTGGAGGGAATCTCTGAGGTTGCGTGGCGACTCGAGACGGCAGCGGCGAACCGGAGACGACGAAGCCGAATTCCGAAACCCATCCCACCAAAATTAGCGTCCGACGATGGTCGAATGACAAAAAGAGCAGGACAGCAAAAGTGAACGCATGCACGAGAAGCCCACACTTTCTGATCTCCCGAGGAAGAGGAACCAACGAGTCCTATTCTGTCAACGCCGAGACTAAGCCGAACGAGTCACTGCGGCCAAAGTGTGATTGAGTGTGTGTGTGTATGTGTGTTCTGATCGTCCCTCTGAGAGAGAAAGAGGCGTATGTAGACTATGATATATCGTGCCTACATGCTAAATGAAACCGGCCCACAATTGTGTGCATGTATGTAAATTAAAGATATATATATATATATATATATCGTATGTGTGTAGGTGTGTTTGGGAAAAATGTGGCTGATGAAAGAGCGATGAGAGCAAATTGAGCATTAAGCTAGAAGGGATGAGTTGATCATGATCGAGACAATTTGAGCAAAAGAGCAATGAAGAATGAAGCCCAAATGAACCAGATTGCAGAGTGTGTCTGACAAAGCCAATGGGATGAGGAGCGATTAAAACAAGCGTGAATTGTAACACTCACAAGGCGCCTAATACCCTTTTGAGGCGTGGACTTCCGGGGTATCTTACAAGTCCACTCTGTGTTTATTGAGAGGCTGCAGGTTTGACAAACTAGGGATGAAGAAATGAAAATAAAAATGGAATAAATGCGTTAAGGAGTGTTTAAAGCAAATTGCTTCTGTCCCATCTGCCCTGTTCAGGCGTCGAGACAGCCACAACATGCAACAGACAAGACCGTCCGAGGTGAAAGCGGCAAGACTGACCGTCATCGGCTGTCGCCAAACAGGCACCTCATGTCCAAGCGTGCGGGAGCAACCAAATGCGTCAACTGGACAACGCCTCGAGACCACCAGAAGAGGATTACCGCCATAAATGGCTGCTAGGCCGGCAGGGTAAGAAGTATGAGATGTATTCACCCTATTTCGTCTTAGGTGATGAAGGACTGATAGTAGAATTTCCCCACAATGATATGAGTTGAGCTGACGTTTCCATTCAATTTCACATAGCCTTGCTTTACCAAAAGTTGTTCTCATCCTTAAACGAATTTGTGTGAATACATTTCATATTGAAAATTTAGTTTATTTTTTCAATTAAGTATTGTTTTCGTGACTATCAGGATATCAGTAGTATGAGATGTATTCACTTAATTTCGTTTAAGGTGGTAAAGAACTGGTAGAAGAAGAATTTTCTCACAATCATATGAGTTTAGCTGACGTTTCCATTTACTTTCACATATTTTTAGAAATAAGTATTGTTTTCGTGACTACCAGTAAATCAGTAGTATGAGATGAATTCACCCAATTTCGTTTAAGGATGAGAACAACTTTTGGTAAAACAAGTCTATGTGAAATTGAATGGAAACGTCAGCTCAACTCATATGATTGTGGGAAAATTCTTCTACTACCAATCCTTCATCACCTTAAACGAAATTGGGTGAATACATCTCATACTACTGATATACTGATAGTCACGAAAACAATACTTAATTCGAAAAATAAAGTAAATTCTCAATATGTGATGCAATCACGCAATTTCGTTTAAGGATGAGAACATCTTTTGGGAAAGCAAGGCAATGTGAATTTGAATGGAAACTTCAACTCAACCCATATGATTGTGGGAAAATTCTACTACCAGTCCTTCATCACCTTAAACGAAATTGGGTGAATACATCTCA